TCGCAGAACTGCAATCCCGGCTAAGTTAGACATGTATAAAGGGACTGGCATGGCCCATGCACTAAAGAAATGTTAACTTCCTTCACAACTTCTCCTGTCCTTCTATACAACTGAACAGAGACTCCACAACCACAGATAACTGCCATATTCTTCATCAGACTTGGAGTCCCCTAGGGCAGAGAGTATTTCTGATTTATCTTTGGATCCCAGTAACTAGCAGAGGGCCTGGCCCAGAGTAAAAACACAATAAATGCTTGTTCAGTGGAGAAAATTAGAACTGTTTGGGTTTGAGGATGTTAATATTACCTTGGCTGCACACGCCTGTAATCCCAGCACTTTGGGAGGCCAAGGCAGGCGGATGAAAAGGTCAGGAGTTCAAGACTAGTCTGGCCAACATAGTGAAAACCCCATCTCTACTAAAAAAAAAAAAAATTGCAAAAAATTAGCCAGGTGTGGTAGAGTGCGCCTGTAATCCCAGCTACTCAGGAGGCTGAGGTAGGAGAATCACGTGAACCCGGGAGGTGGAGGTTGCAGTGAGTTGAGATCCTGCCACTGCACTCCAGCCCGGGCAACAGTGCGAGACTCCATCTCGGGATTAAAAAAAAAAAAAAAAAATTACCCTGGCCACAGTCAACAGAAAATTCTGTTTTTCAATTTGGCCAAATAGGGCTTGCTACAAGCTACTATGTAGTTCAAAGCAAATAAGCTATTCTGAATTCTAATAATTACATTCTCTAAAATATGAAAACCCAATTGCCCTGCAGCTTTCAATTTTAGTTTTGAGAATTCAATTCTTTCCCAAACAATAGAGTGGGTAACCACAGAAACTTGTGGAATCTCTTTTCCTAGAAAACATGAAGAACAGGAGAGAAGCCAGTCTGTCTGGAAACTGCTTCAAAATCTCTCTATAAGCAGGATGCTGGACTGGATTAGATGCCCCTTGAAGGATCCTTCCAGACCTACACACCACTAAAATGTTAAGAAAAATATCTAAAATAATTCTCTATCACTTATACCCTGGAAAATAAAACAAATACAATTTAACATCTCCCAACATAGTCACTAGAAATAATTTTACTTGGATCTTCCCATGATTTTAGAAGCACATTTTCTTCTTAAATTGTACTAAATTACCCTAAGCTATTAATTTGAATATGAGCTCTCTTTAATAAAATAGAACAGAGATTGTACTTAACAAAGGAAACAAGACTACTATTTTGTTCCTCTTTCAATCTGCCTGTTTCCATGTACCCCAAATCTACTCATTTCCCAAAGCCTTGTAAAAAATACTACTTCCCCCCAACATATACTCCACTCAATTCTCCTGTTTATAAATTTCTAATGTGTTCATTACTCATATTACATCGTACAGGTGATTTTTATATGGTGTCTCTTATTTGTATCTGACTCACATGTAACAATTTTTGTCTTCCTAACGGAACTGTAAACTCCTTGACTAAGATTCAAGTTTTATATTCCTCATGTACTCCCCTATTATGTTAATATTGAGTTCATAAGTGCTTTCAAGTTCTCATTGGCTCACTGATTTAAGGTGGAGAGAGTGTGCAAAAGCTAGATGACGCTGTACATTAAGCACCTGTATGAAGCTTTGGCAAAGCAGGCACTCCAAGAAGTCAAAAATAAACCTTTTCTGATTGCTACATATTGACATGTGTCATTTAGCTAGGACTCACAGGTGACAGTTAATACACACAGATGCTAAAGGGAAGGACCTAGAGCTAAGCGCCATATTAGTTTAGCTCCTGTCCTATAAGAAATGAGGAGCTATGAAGGTGAGCCCACTCACATGGAGATGGAGACTAAGAAAGCATGCATATTGCACAGGTTGCAGAGCTTTGCTGGTTCTGATTTTACATAGAATCAGTTCTTCATTCTGTCAAGACAAGTCAGGCAGCAATAAACAGAAAGGAAAAGAGCTTTACAAATTAAAATGTAATAACGTTATTTTAAAAGCACAAGTGAAACTTGTGTTTTCTCATTCTTTAAAACGCAAAAAACACATCTAAAATAAGATTAATGGGTGTAAAAATTCAGTCATTACAAGTACACTCTACACACTTAAAAAGGATCCTCTGCTCCTCTGCTTCTTATCTCTACTATGCAGCAGGGACTGTTCTATGGCACTGGGAATACATCATTTTACCAAACTTACAATGCCAGAAACATTATGTAAAGCTTGACTTTAGTATTTTAAAGACAGAAAAGACCTCAGGGATATTCCAAACCTTATTTTACAGAGAAGAAAACCAAAGCCCAGAGAGGTTGGCTATCTTGTCTCAGTTGATTATAGTGGTTATATTGTAACAAACGTAGGAGTAGAAACCAGACTTATTTCTCCTCTAGTAACAAAATTTACTTACTCATTAGGCAATTATTCCTATATGCCTTCTATATGCCAGATACTATGCTAGGCTCTGAGAACCCAAGAATGGTTAAGACACTGACCTTCTCCTCAAAAAGCATAGTCTCAAGAGCAAGACAATCAGATGAGTACAATCATAGAAGTGGTAACAGAAAGAAAAACCAAACTATATCTCTAATCCCCTAGGACTTCCAATATTTTAAAGAAAATGAACTTCTAATAGTTTGTTTTATCCTCACAATAGCCCTAGCAGTACACAGCACACATCTTATTATTCCTGGTATACAGATGGAGAAACTGAAGTGCAAAGCAGATAAGGGGGCCTATTAAGTTCATCTCCAGTGGCAGCAAAATGCCTAGAAACCAGGTTTGTTTACTCCAAGTTAGACCTTTATTTCCCATTAGATGGAAAAAGCAGATGTTCTTTTTATGTTCAGTTCCCTCTGACCAAGAACACACATTTCCAAATTGCGAGCAGGACAATCTGTGGTTGTGAAAGGAAACAACTGACTTGTGAGGTGTGTCACCAGCTGAGGTTAGTTATCCAATCGGTAAGTAACCAACCAAGACATCATCATTACTAGCCTTTTTAAAGTGCCCATTACGTATACAGAACAGATGAAAAAGGTCCTTCCATCAGGAAGTTAATATTGTAAGGAACAGGCATATAAACATTTCAACAAAAAGTGACATAATTAAACAAACTACAACTAAAAGAACCATCACAAGCAACTGCAAATTTAAGACACTAAAGGTTTTGCAAAGCAAACCTAATGGGAGCTGCCAAGAAATATATCTTCATGGGTTAAACAGGGAACAGAAGCCTTGTACGCATAATGGTCCACACCGATCTTCAGATTACTAAAATTAAAAGCTCTCACGAAAAACATTCTTCACATTTAAAAACTTAACTGTCTCATTCCTATTTCCTTTTTTCTAGAAACCTTATATATTTTGTAACCTTTCCTATCCAAGAGGAATAAATTTATAATGGAGGTTTCCATCAGTGTGACTTTTTTAAGTATAAAATTAAAAATTTTTTAATTTTAAAAAATTAAAATTGTATGGTGTTACTGCCATATTCTTCCACTCTCAGTACAACCTAAATGAGGTTTTCTCATTTTCTGATCATTTTCTCCTACACATAGTAAAATTTATATGTATTTATACATACATTCAATAATCACTTCATAAAAAACAAAAAAAAATTCTTCAAGTTCAGTTTTAAACATTAATTTTACTTGTTTGATGACTTCCTATCATATTTTATTTATACCGTGTTTATCAAGGCCTTATAACATGACCCAACTGTTTTAAACTATGGCACACTGGAGAATTACTAACAAAATAGACAAAGCTAAGGAGAAACAACTATTAGTGATTTCAAGTTAGTGACAGGAAGAATATCTTTAAGAACAGGCTCAAAAATAAAAATTATAATCATCCTTCCAAAAGTGTAATGTTTTATTTATTTAAAAAATATTACTTAGTTAAAAAAAAAAAATTAAAAAGCTCTCTGGTGTCGCCTGAACATGCTCAAGGGATTTATACTTACAGCCAGTTACCTTCCTTTTAAATATCTGGTGAATGTTACAGGGTGACAAGAAGCAATTTAAATGATAATTCGGAAATACCATAGTAGGTTTCATTAGAATTATCACTAGTACATCACAAAATGATTTCCTATTTTTTTAATTCCTAAGATTTAGTTCCATCACACAAAAATGCATTTCAATAAACATTAGCTTAAAACTTAAATATGAAGCATAATGACTTTTTTAGTTAAGAAGGGAATAAGGCTTTGAATATAACTCTAGATCCTCAAGAGAAAGACCACTGGGCCAAACTGGATCCTAAATAAAATTAAGGAAGTAATTAAACGTGCAGCAACAGTGACATCTAGTGTTAGCAACTGCAAGCCAATTAGATTACTATTAAATCCTATTAAGTGCTAAAGAACAACTATTCAAAGCTTTTCTTCTTTAAAAACAGATCTTGTGCATTTTTATCTAAAAACTACCCAAAATCAAAATGGTTCCACAGGTTTCTTTCCAGGCATAACAAAAAAGCTGTTTTTTTAAGACAAAAACAAATTAGAGGGTAAACATAAAACTAAAGACCAAAAGTAAAAAGCACTGTTTATTACTTGTGGTTAACACCTATAGGTGTTCCTCTTAGTACCAGAGTTTAATGCAAAGGTAATCTGAGAGATGTTCTAATGAGAGGATCATAAACATTTAAACTTCCACCTATAAAATTAAAGATATTATACAAGCTAGGATAATACATACAAGTAAAGTTAGGACATTTCAGGAATACTTAAAGAAGATGCAATTAAAAACAAACAAACAAACAAACTAGCTTTTGCACAGAGAAACAGGCTCTACATGTCACCCCTTGCTACCCTGCTCAATTTTTGTTGCTTTGAAAGGTCCACTTACTGATATTTTTGCCCAAGGGTTTATAACTTGGCAGCATAGGCTAATTCATTATAGTATTTTTATAGTCTTATGATCTAGATGAATCTGTAACAGTAGGCACAATTTCAAAAATTGTTTTTGGCCAGGACAATATTGTATTTTTTAAAAAAGTAAAGTCAGCCTTAAATGGAGCTTACCTATTTGTTTTGGAAAGTTCATCCTTTGCCCTTTTAACTCCAAAAATTCTTGTGATCAAGGCACTAAAGAGAAGTGTGGATGAATTTCGCACCTAATGTACAAATGAAAACACAATAAGGGTTAAACATTCTTGGCATGAAACCAACATTTACAATATTCAAACTAGATGATTCAAAATCATTACCTAACTGGCTAGTATGAGGCTAAAAAGATATGTCTGTGTTCATAAAATAATTTTTAAAAAACTTAATGTAATCTATTCAATGACTTAAATTGAGCTCTACAACCCAATCACATGCACAAACACAGCCTTTCCCCATATTTCTAATATTATCATCAACAGTTTTCATTATATCTCTGCACTTAGAGCATCAAATAACACTTCTTTTTTAAAAATTCATTTTTCCATATTCTTCCTGACAATGAATATCCCAGTAAAATCTCAGCTCTTTCCACTTATTTTCTGAAATCCTTTTACCTATGAGAAAATACTTATAAAACCTAACTTCAAAGAACCAGGCACAGTGACTTACACCTATAATCCCAGCTACTCGGGAGGCTAAAGTGGAAGGAGTGCTTGAGGCCAGGAGTCTGAGACCTTTGGGCAATATAGTGAGACCCCCATCTCAAAATATATATATTTTTTTTTTTTGAGTTTTTTTTTTTTTTTTTTTTTTAGAGCCATGGCACATGCCTGTAGTCCCATGTAGTCAGGAGGCTGAGGCAGGAGGATTGCTTAAGCCTAGGAGTTTAAGGCTGCAGAAAGCTATGACTGTGCCACTGTGCTCCAGCCTGGGCAAAAGAGTGAGAACCTGTCTTTAAAAAAACAAAAACAAAATCCAAAAATCCTAACTTCAAAGAATCCAGGTAATTAATATGGCCAAGAAAATAGTTAACATCCAAAATGTTGCTTATCAGCTTCACAATACAAGTAACTTATCAAGTAATTTCAATACTGAAATTATCTGATAACTTAGTAAAGATAAGAGGCAGGAATTATCCTGAATAAACACAAATTATTTCTCCAAGATGATAATAATCTTTTCCCTATCTTTTCCCAACCAATGTGTCAAGATGCTTTGGAAGATCATAAAAGGGTCTTGACTGTTGCAGCACTACAGGCTTCCTCAATTACTCTGTCAAATCAGTGTAGAGATGTATATGTACTCACTTTGCTACAGTGTGTAAGGCCCTATACCAGCACCATGGATAAGATCCAGAAACAGAAAACACATACTTACTGATATTACAGACCTTATACTCTAAGTAAGTGACACAACCATATGGTGTGTTAAATAGCAATATAAGTAGAAAGATCACTAAAAGTAACAATGTTAAGATTTAGAAAACAGCTTCCTGAAAGCGCTGCCCTTAGAGTCACAAGCTCAAACGCCCACAGGAACAGTGAGCGACAGAGGCAGCAATGTACTTTGTCTAATGCAGTCAGTGTCAGCTGAGTTGCTGCCATGAGGAAATATAAGTTCAGTTTTGCCAGATCTTCTGCTTTTTCAAGAGAAGCCAGAAACCCTGGTTTTTATGTGAAATCTATTTTGAAATGCTGGCAGGAAATTAAAGGAAAAAAAAAAACCGCAAAACTCACCATGAAAGCCAAATAAAACAGTGGTGGGCTAGTTTGTCCTACTGGCCACCAGTCTGTAACCTCTCCTCTAGAAGCCCAGAACTGACTCAAGTCATGCATGGTAACCATAGAAGTAAATTTTACAGATATACTGGCACAATTCATACCAAAGCTTCAATAAAACCCTAAATCTGAAAAGACCACTTATGTTCATTCAAGAGTCATCAAACATCCATGGAGGCCCTACTATGTGCCCTGCCTAATTTAATCCCCAAACAACAAATCAATCCATGCTGTTACTTTATCAATATAATCTCTGCCCTCGTTCAGGTCTGGATCATCTTCTACCTGATCTAGTGAGGTAGTTTCCAAAGACTTTTAGGTCTAAGATGACTTGGTAAAGACATCTGGGACCTTCTCTCCTCTTAGAAATCACACAAGAACACAAAAAGAAAAGGAAAACAGAAACACACACTCCATCTTGCCCTAAGCCATACTTTCTGACAAAGGCGCCAGATGCAGTAAAATTAAAACAGGAGTGCCTGGAGATGTTGAGAAATGCACACCTTAAACAAAACTGTAGAGGACCATTTTACAAAGTGAATGGGCACCACCCTCAGAAACAAAACTCCTCTGATTCAATAGACTGATGGCAGGAGACACATAATGTCTTTTTAGTAATATTAAGATGGACCAGATGGTTCCAATCCTATCTGCCTGACCCATCCTGATATGGTCTGAATGTTTGTGTTCCCCCGAAATTCCTATGTTGAAATTCTAACCTCCAAGGCATTAGGTGGTGGAGGCCTTTGGGAAATAATTACGTCATTGGGGTAGAGCTCTCATGAATGGGATTAGTGCCCTTATAAAAGAGACCCCAGTGAGCTGCCTCACTTCTTCCACCATGTGAGGACACGGCTAAAAGGTGCCATCTATGATCAGAAAGTAGGCCTTCACCAGACACCAAACCTGCCAGCATCCTGATCTTGGACTTCCCAGCTTCCAAACTGTGAGACATAAATTTGTGGTATTTTGTTATAACAGCCCGAAGGGACTAAGATATCCCTTATAAAGTGTCCTCATTAGCAATCAGTGATGATCATTATCTTTTCCACTAGGTGTAGCAAAATCACGATAGGCCTTCTGCATTAATCATTTACATCCTCAGAAAAACTTTTTTTTTAAAAGCTTTTCCTCATCTGCTATTTGGTTACCCTGTTCATCAGTTAGTAAATAATTATTTCCATACATTGACCATTTTAAGAATAATTAGTTCATGCCATACAACCTCCAAACGTGACTGAATGATTTTGTTTTAAAATCATTTTTAAATTACTTTTTAAAATTGAGGTATAATTCACGCATCATAAAATTTACTATTTTAAAGGATGCTATTCAGTAGTTTTTTACTATATTCACAAAACGTGAAGCTATCACAACTAAATTCCATGATATTTTTCAATACCTCAAAATGAAACTTGGGAGCCGTTAAGTCGTCACTCCCTATTCTCCTGCAGTAGGAAAGCACAATCTACTTTCTGCCTCTATAAACTTGCCTTTTCTGGATACTTCATATACATGGGATCACATGATATGTGGCCTTTTATGTTTGGCTTCTTTCACTTAGCATAATTTTCTCAAGGTTCCCCCATGCTGTAGCATGTATCAGTATGTTATTCCTTTTTTACGGCTGAATAACATCCCGCTGTATACATATACCATATTTTAAAAATCTGTTCTTCATTTGATGGACATTTGGGCTATTTCCAATTTGGAATATTATGAATAATTTTGCTAAGAATATTCATGTACAAGTTTTTGTGTGAACATGTTTTCATTTCTCATGGCTATATACCTAGAAGTGGTATAGATTGGTCATATAGTAACTCTATGTTTAACCTTCAAAAGAACTGCCAAAGTGGTTGCACCATTTCATAGTCTCACTAGCAATGTATAAGAGTTCCGATTTCACCAGTTCTCCAATTTCTCCACATCCTCCCCAATACTAGTTATTTTCCATGAATTTTATTTTAGTGGGCATGGAATGGTAACTCACTGTAGCATTTCCCTAATGACTAATGATGTTAAGCATCTTCTTGTGTGCTTACTGGCCATCTGCCTAACTTTTCTGGAGATATACATTATTTGTCCATTTTAAAATTGGGTCGTCATTTATTATTGAGTTCTAGACACTCCGCTCTTATCAGATATATAATTTGCAAATATTTTCTCCCATTCTGTGGGTTGTCTTTATACTTTCTTGATTGTGTCCTTTGAAAAATATTTTTTTTTCTTGATGCTGGTTAAGTTTTATTTAAAAAAAAATTTTTTTTTTTTAAACTTTTCTAGCGACAGCTTTCTGCTCTGTCACCCAAGACGGAGTACAGTGGTGTAACCATAGCTCACTGCAGCCTTGAATTCCTGGGGTCAAACAATCCTCCAGCCTCAGCCTTCTGAGTAGCTGGGACTACAGCTGCATGCCACTACGCCCAGCCATCTGATTTTGTCCAAGTCCAATTTATCAATTTTTTTCGTTGCTTGTACCTTAGGTGTCATATCTAACTAAATATTACCTAATCCAAGGCACAAAAATTTACACAGGTCCTCTTGTAAAAGTTTTATAGTTTTAGCTTTTACATTTAGGTTTTTAATACATTTCAAGTCATCTGAATATGGTATGAGATGGGGATCACATTCATTCTTTTGCATGTGGATATCCAGTTGCCCAGAACCATTTGTTGAAGGTTATTCTTTCTCCACTGAATTGTCTTGGCACCTTTGTTTATTAAATGTGGAGGTTTATTTCTGTACAATCAATCCTAATCTGCTGATTTATACGCCTATCCTTATGTCAATGCCACAATCTCTTATTTACTGTTGCTTTGCATTAAGTTTTGAAATTGGGACCTGTGGGGCCTCCAACTTTGTTCTTTTTCAATAGTGTTTTGGCAATTATGGGTTCCTCACATTTCCAAACGTACTTTAGGATCTGCAAAAAAAAAAAAAAAAAAAAAAAAAAAAAAAAAAGCCAGAAAGGATTTAACAGGGGTTGTGCTGAATCTATAGATTAATTTGGGGAATATGTCATGTTAACAAGAGTAAGTCTTCCAGTGATGAACACAGGAGATCTTTCCATTTATTTAGGCCTATAATTTCTTCAAAAAATGTTTGATAATTTTCAGTGAACAACTCTTGCAGTTCCTTTGCTAAATTTATTCCTAAGTATTTTATTCTTTTTGATGCTATTATAAATGAAACTGTCTTTTTAATTTCATTTTTAGATTTTTCATTGCTAGTGTACAATTTCTGTATGACGACCTTGTGCCCTGAAACCTTGCTAATAGACAAGCTTTAATTTGCGTGTGTGTGGATTCCTTAGGATTTTCTATATTTAAGATCATGTTATCAGAAAATAGGGATAGTTTTGCATCTTCCTTTACAAACTGGGTAACTTTTATTTTTTATTCTTCTCTAGTTGGTCTACTAGAACCTCCAGTACAGTGTTGAATATG